TTTTGAGTGCCTTTCAACCTGAGGGCCTCATCTTCTGGCATTATATCAGACAATGTTCCCATGTTATTCATGGGGCTTTCAATGGTCTATTATTTCAGAAGTGGATGGCCAGGGCTATTTCCTAATCTATCTTAGTTTGGGAGCTCTACTGAAATCTGTCCACCATTGCTGGTATTTAAAATACAAGTTGCATAGCTTCCAGCATAACAGCAACACACATGGCTGCTATTTTTCAAACTGAAACAAATGAAGAATAAATTCAAGCCCTGAGTTGCAATATTGAAATATTATTTGGGCAAAATATTCAACGATGCAGGAAGCATCAAAAGGAAATGGAATGAACACACAGTCCCTGAAATAAAAAGAATTGGTTGACACCCAACCATTTCAGGATGGAGCATCTGATCAAGAACTAATGGTACTAAAGGAAGACATCCAAGTGGCACTGAAGGCACTGGCAAAACTAAGGTTCCAGAAAGTGACAGAAAACCAAGTTGTTTGAGCAAATGGATTCAGACCTAGACTTACTCATCCACCTCTCTGTGCTAAGAAATTTCTGGTCAACTGACTGGAAGAGATCCATATTTTGTGCCCATCCCCCCAAAAAAATGTAGTTCAACAGAATTCAAGAATTATTGAACAATATATTTTAATGTCATATGCAAGCAAAATCTTTAACATTAACAGGGACCTGCCAGAAATTCAACCAGGATTCAAAAGAGGATATGAACTAGGTACATTATTGCTGATGTTAGACGGTTCTTAGATGAAAGTAGGGAATACCAGAAATATCTTTATTTGTATTTTATTGACTACAAAATGCATTCAACTGTGAATCATAATAAATTATTAGTAATGTTGCAGATAATGGAAACTCTAGAACACTTAATTGTGCTCAGGTGGTACCCATATATAGACCAAGAGGCAATCTTTTGAACAGAACAGAAATCAAGAAAGCTGTGTGTCAGAATTGTGTCCTTTCACCATACCTACTCAATATGTATGCTGGGGGGGGGGAGAATCTGAAAACCTGGACTATATAAAGAACACAGCATTAGGATTGGGGGAATACTGATTAACAACCTACACTATGCAGATGATACAACATTGCTTGTAGAAAACAAAGAAAATGTGAATGAAGCTTAATGTTGAGGTGTTACCCTTCAGAATAGATTACACAACAACATGAAGAAGGCAAAAATATTCACAACTAAAAGGGATCTCTGGTGGCCGAGTGATAGGAAGTTGTGCTGTAATTCCAAAGGCACACGGTTCGAATCTACCAGCTGCTCTGCAGGAAAACGAAGGGTAATCTTCTCCCATGTGATTAGTTGCCTCTGGAAACCCACTAGAGGGTGAGCTGTTGGTCAGTTCCAACTAGACAGCACACAACAAAAACCCATTAAAAATACCATGGAAAATGGAGAAAATATTGAAGTTGTCAAGGAGGTCATTTTACTTGATTTGATAATCAACACTCATGAAAGCAGCAAAAGATATACGCAATAGGAAAATCTGCTACTGAGGACCTCTTTAAAGGTGCTAGGATATAACATTAAAGACCAAAGTTAACCTAACCCAAGGCATAGTATTTTCAATCACCTCATATGAGTGTGGATGTTGGATAATGAATAAGGAAGACTGAACGAGAATCAATGCATTTGAATTGTGGTGCTTGTAATGAGTATGGACTTCCCAGGTCTGTCTTGGAAGGAGTGAGCCACAATGCTCCTTAGAAGCAAAAAGGATGAGACTTCATCTCACACACTCTGAGTATGTTATCAGAAGGGATTGGTTCCAGAAAAAGACATCATGCTTTGTAAAGTAGAGAGTCGGTGAAAAAAGAAGATGCTCAATGAAATGGGTTAAGTGACAGCAATGGTGGGCTTAAACACAGCAGATGTTGTGGGGGTGACCTGAGATCAGGGCAGGCTTCATTTATTTTGTTCATATGAGAGGTCAATATGAGTTGCAGCCCCCTGGAGGGCACCTAACAACAACATAACATTGTTACAACAACCGTAGTACACAAGAGTCAATGCTGTCTTGTTTAATTGTTTAAATACTACCCCTGTCTGCTCAATGTCCCATTAATACTACGCTGAGTACCTATCTTCTACTTCACAGAACTTTCTTTTTTTTAATTATAATAATATTAATAATATTTTATTAATTTTCATAAACATTTACAGAGATTTTGGGCTTCCACTCATTCATTGTTGCACTATTCTCTCTACCCTCCTTCCAGTTTGTTCTTGTCCAAATGCCACAGTGCTTGTCAAAGCCAGTTCTGATTAATCTTCTTTGTCAGTGTATCCTTTGCCATTCCCTATCACTCCTCCCTGAGAGAGACTTCACCCTGAGTCATAAGGAAAAGGGGACGGCGTATTCTCTTAGCTACTTCCTGCTGAAAAGGGATGCTGTGGGTTTCAGGGTGAAGATCTTCTCTCACTACTCTAAAGGGCCCCTTTGGCAGTAGGAAACACATAGACTATTATGGAGATTGATTTTGGAATTCAGATGCACTCTTATTGATTGTGCTTGGCTGTACATGTACATATCCTTGAAGATGTATCATGGGGGTGTTGCAACCTAGAAGACACAAATTTGACTAACAAGTTATAAGTACATGGGTCCAAAAATTATGGAAAAGTAAAAGAAAAGATTCTTTCATTGTTTTACAAACCCTCCCCCAGGTCCTCTCCACCATGCAGCCCTCGCTCTAGTCTCCTGTGATGACAGAAATACCCAGTTACATCTCTCTTTTAAACGGTTCTCTCCCTCCTCTGTTTCAGTGCAGTATACATTATTGAACCCATCTTACTCAGTCTCTCCCCAACCCCAAGGACAGTCCCATTCTACAACAGTGGCATCATGTAATATTTGTCCTTTTGTGACTGGGATATTTCACTCAGCATAATGTTCTCCAGAGTCAACCATTTTGAATAATATTGCATGAGTTCCTTGTTTTTTAATGCAGCATAGTATTCCATTGTGCGAATATACCACAGCTTCTCTAGCCATTCGTTTGTTGATGGGTTCACAGAACTTTCTGAGGTGGGCTAATTAGCCTTCATGAAACAGAGAGGAACTGGTAGCAAGGGAAGTTGTTGTTGTTGTCATGTGCCATTGAGTTGACTATGAGCCAAAGCTACCCATAAACAATGGCTCTGAACTTTGCACTATCCTGAGCCGACCTCACCATCTCTGATTCACTTGACCCTATTGCCACAGTCACTGTGTCAGTCCACCTCATCCAGGATCATCATCTTCTGCTCTACCCTTCTTGTCTAATTAGGTATCTAATTAAGCATAACCAGCCAGGGGCATGAACACTGGTGTAACTTTTTTGTTATTATTACACATACATACACTTTTTTCTTTTTATTATAATTTGAGTGCAAGTTTACAAATTGGTTTTTTCATGGTGTAACTCTTTAGAAAGACAATTTACCAATAAATTAATCAAGTGCCTTAAGATATACACATCCTGTAACTCGGAAATCGCATTTTAACGACATACTGTGGAGATAAGGATCCCTCATGAGCACAAACAGTGCTCAGCAACTAACTGAAAGGTCAATGGTTCTAACCCATCCAATGGCTTCACAGGAGGAGGGCCTAGCAATCTGTTCCCACAAAGATTACAGCCTAGAAAACCCAGTGGGCTAGTTCTCCTCTGATGCATGGAGTTGCTGAGTCAGAAATCAGCTCAATGGTACCTAATAACAACACTAAGGAAATATTTGTAGTTCTAAGATGTGTGGGGAAGTATGTTCAACAAAGTATTGTTTGTTCTCAGAGAAAAAGAGAAGGGACAACCCAGGGCACACACACGTAACAACATATCTGCATGGTACAAATGTTTAAGGTACTGGCACACTAACAGAAAAATCAAAGGTTTGAGTCTACAGAGAGGTGCCTTGAAAGAGAGGCTATTTGCTCCCATATAAAATCAGCCACTAAAAATGCTATGGGAACTTCTTTTCTGATGTACATGAGTCAGAGTCACATTAGTGGCAAAGTATGTAGGCACTCAACCAATAGGTCTGTGATCCAGACCCGCAAGGAGCACAGCTTCCTGGCAGGAAGATGTGGCTGTTGTTTCTGTAAAGATTGTTGCTGTGATGTGCTTCGATACCATCAAGTTGGCTTTGACTCATGAACAGCACATCAACCCTGTGCCATCCTCATAATCTCTCACGTACTCGAATCCATTGCTGCAGTCACCATCAGTCCAGCTATTTGAGGGTCTTCTTCTCTTTTGCCAACCCTCCACCTATCCAAGCATGATGTCCCCTCTCCAAGGAACAACCTCTCCTAGCAACATGGCCAAAGCATGTGAGGCTGTAAAGATTATGACCATGAAAATCCTGTAGGGCAGCTCTGCTCTGTCCTACAGGGTCACTTGAAGTCCACAAAAGCTCAATAGCAATGAGCTTTTTGGTTTGTTGGTTTCATGGTTCACTAAATCTGTGTTACAGGAAGCAGAAGTGTGTCCTGATCCTCGAGTTCTGGCGGCATAACATATGGGGCTGTGCTGGTCATGCCTTGTGGTAGTTGAAATCCACTGCTGGTTCTGCAGGAGAAAGATGGGCAGTCTCCTCCAGTACCTCTTCCAGTCTTGGAAAACCTACTGGAGGGTCAACTATGAATCAGTCCCCACTCAATGGCAATGAGTTTTGGTTTGAGATATGTTTATGTTTAAATGGTTAATGACAAAGTCAGGATACCAAGATGATAATTCTACGAAATGGCAGGCAAGGAGTGGGCATCCAGCTAGAAAGAAACAGTCTTGTGCACAACCATCTTTAGTGATAAGAACATAGGTATTCTGGCTTCTACTTTTTTGTATTTCCCAAGATGAACTAACTAGGTAATACATCTATGTTGGTTTTGTAACTGAGATAGTGTGATACAAACATAACAAAGTCTCTGGACATTTCCTTGATTTGAGAGATGCAGTGACATCATCACCTGCTCCCATCCTCTCCTTCCAGCTGACTGAGCCTGCAAGGTCCCCAGAACTGCCTGTATGGAATCAGTCCTTCCTCTTCCAAGGCTGTGATGGAGCCACCGACTTCTCAGAAGACACAGCACTGGTCCTGGAGTACTATGCCTCATCACGTAAGTGCACCCTCAGACCACACCTGATGTCAGGAGACCCAGGTGGAAGGATGTTGGACTCTCCCTGCCCGAGCCTCCACTTTGGTGGGTTAAGTGTCCCAGATTCTGAATGCATATGGACAGGTGGCAGGAAGTGTTGGCTTTTCCCTCTGGAGCACAGGTTAGGATGCATGAGTCCTGTTCCCATAGTAGGTCTGTACTTTTTTTGGTTTTCATTCTGATACTGCAGCCCCTACCCACATATCAATGAGGTAGAAGATGGATGGGCCATTCAGAGCCCATAGCCAAGTCAGAGATTTGCTGACCCAGCAGCATTCTACACAAGCTCCGTACCATGGGATTGGGGCCATAAAAGCAAGAGGAGAAGGAGCACCATACTGATAACTGGAGACATAGATTCTGTTTAGGGTTGGCATTGAACTCAGGAAGTCCTGAAAAGTGGAAAGAAGGAGAATGCTTGTGCAGGGAAAGGCCAGGAGGCATGAGAGTGGGTGAGGCATGGAAGATGGGAAACTTGTATGCCTGATACCAAAAGCTGGACTTAGGTGGGAGCACAGGAGCTGGGATCTGAGAAGCTGGGTGTGGAGGCTTTGACAGGAGACTAGAGGTGAACCATCAACCCATCCCCACCCATAGTGAAAGGCAGTGAGCCATGGACCTTCAACCAGCCTCTGGGCTTCTCTGTGTTGCCACTCAAAAGCCGTTTGTACCGCAAGATGTTGTCTGGGAAGGGCCTGAGCGGGCTGCGCTTGGAGCGGCTCCCCATCCTGGTGAGTCCCCTGTCCCTTCTGCATGGTCCTCACTTTGCCTGCTCTATCTCAGCTCCACAGGAGAATGACCCTTCTCCAACAGGCTTCACTAGAGCACCCAGGAAAGCTGACAACTGTCAGATGTCAGGGGCTTTCAGGAAGGGTCACTCAACTTCATCCTTGGCTTGGGGATCTGTAATGAATCCACCAGAAGAACTGCCCCCTAGAAACTTGAGGAGAATAAGGGTAAGGCCTGTGGGATGGTGACAAGAGCTCAGGCTTCACCAGCCAGACCTGGGTTCACATCTCACCTTGACTTCTTCCTCATTGTAGAACTGGGGGCAAGTCTCTTAAGCTCTCTAAACCTTAGAGTCCTCATCTTTAAAGTGAAAACAACAATTTCTTCGGAGAAACAAATTATTTAATGAAATGTAAAGGGCCCAGTATAGGATCTCTTTGTATACGGAGATAATTAAGAATTTAGGTCATTTGGGACTAAAGTCTGGATTCACCAATTATCAGCTGATAGGATCCTAGAAAAAGACTTACAATCTAGATGCCTCAGTTTCCTTGTCTATGTGATGTGTATGTAATTATAACTTCCTCATAGCTATCCTTTGAGATTTTGTGAGGAAATACATACAAAACCCTTAGAGAAAAACCAAGCATAGTCTTAGAATAGAATATGCTCTCAAAAGAATTCAGGTAATTATTATCATTATTTTTCTATACACTCTTTTTTCTTAAAATATTTCTATCTATGCTGAGCTGACACAATTGATCTTGGTAGACAGGAGCTTTCCCCTTCTGCCAGGATGTGGTTGGACAGGCCTTGCTCTCTGGGGGTCATTCAGAGGGTTTGGCTGGTCAGCTTTCCAACGAGCAGAGAAGGACAAGTGTGAGGAGGTGAGGTTAAACCAGACCTTTCAACTGGCTCTACCCCTTGATAGATTTTGCTTCCCACCTCAGATATATGAATCCAAATCTACATTGTAACAAAACACCCAAATGATTCTTGTTTGATGCCATAGAGTCAGTTTACTCACATAAACTTACACTACAAATTCTTACAGACTCAACACGTAGCCATCAAGTCTAAACTGACTCAGAGCTGACCCTCCAGCAGGTTCTCAGAGACTGTAAACCACACAGGTGGAGATTGTTCGCCTTTCCCCCTTAGAGCCGCTGATGGTGGAGTCACACCACCAAAGAGGTTTGAATGTTTGCTAACCTGAGGGTTAGCGGTTCAATTCCCTCCAGACTGCCAGAGCTCACCTTAAGGCAGTGCACTATTATAACACAAACACTGCAAGGGGATGGCTCCCTCTCCCTGCCCCCGTCTCCTGTAAAAGTCTTATAAAGCCCCTATAAAATTCTTATAGACTCTTAGGAAAGCCTAACGGTCACCGGGGGATCTTGTTAAAAGTATAGACTCTGATTCCGTATGTTTGGGATAGAAATGCAATTTCTCAGCAGGGGGTTGAACTGGAATGAACTGGTTCGAAGTTCTGGGGTGGACAGAGGCAGTGACCTGCTCCCACCTGCCTTCCGCTCTCACGGACACAGTCCCAAGCTGTCACCTTGCTGGGGAATCAGAATACGAGCAGAGACAGAAGCTACCCCAGCCAGCAGCCATGACTTCCCCTCCTGACTGGCCTCCTCTTTCCAGAATACCAACCTGAAGACCATAAATGGCGAGGCCCCCACGGTGGATCTCTCCTTCCAGCTGCATTCCTCCGAGGTAAGGCTGTGTGTAGACCAGGGAAGGCCAGCTCCTGGATGATGTGCTGGCTCCATGCTCCCTTCATCGTGGTTCCAATCTCCTTTCTGAGAGTTGCCCTGAGTCAGGGGCTGGGGCCAACGGCTCTAGTAGTGTGACTATTGTTAAAGATGGAAAGATGTTGCTATTGTTACTGTCCTGTGATAGTAAACCCATTGGAGGGTTTTCAGAGGCTGTATGTCACATGAGAGAAGACTGCCCATTTTCTTGCTCTAAACAGATGGTGGGTTCAAACTACCTGCCTTTGAGTCGACAGCACAGTTTCTTACCCACTGAGTCACCAAATGGAAGAATAAACTGAGGCTGCCAGAAACTAGAGAAAAGCTTGAAGCTTTATTGTTTCTGTTCTGGATCTGTTTTTATTTTGGGGTGCACCAAATCAGTTCCAACTCATAAGTGACCCCATGTGATAGAGTAGAACTGCTCCGTGGAGTCACCTTGACCATTGCAGGAACAGGTCACCAGTAGAGCAGCTTAGGTGGGTTTGGACAATCAAGCCTTTGTTAAGCAGATGTCACCAGGAAACCAGAGAGAAAGCTAAGAGATTAGAGAAGAAGAGTTGAGTACAAAGGACACGCAGACTGGGTGGTCGGTCAACTCTAACTCAGCCCCAAACCAAGTCTGGCTCACTAGGATCAATGGTTCTCAAGGGTGAACTGGGATATTAGTTTTCTAATGCCAAGTAACAAATTAACACAGACACATCAGCTTAAAAACCACCTCTTTATGAGATCACAGTTCTGTGGATCAGAATCCAACACAGCACAGGTAGGTTCTTAGCGGAGGGTCTCAGAAGGCTGAACCACGTGATCGGCAGAGCTGGGTTACTTTCTGGAGGGTCTGGGAGACAATCTTAGTTCCAAGTTCCTTCACTTACTAGCACAACCCAGTTGATAGAACAGAAGTCCTGATTCCCGTGTTGACTGTTAACTGAGGGCCTCTCTCAGCTCATGTAGACCACTCAACCCCCTTCTCACAGGAGCCCCTATTATGCTTAAACCAGCAGGCATGGTGAATCCCCCTCATACTTTGAACCTCTCTGGCTTCCTCTTGTGTCAGCTGCCAGAGAAAATGGTCAGCTTTACAAAGAGGTCCATGTGATTAGGTGAACAATTAACTAATTACCCCAACAATCTCCCACTCTGAAGATCAACTCCACCATACAACACAACATTCAGAGCAGTGGGACGGCATCACATTCAAGGATTGGGGTGTAGGGTCTAAGGAGCCAATTTTCCAATTTTTGAATCTGTTTCCTACAGCTGAGCTGGTCTGAGTGAACAAATAACTGATGCTGAGCTGAGAAAACGAGCCTTCATCTTTCTAGCCAGCTACACTTGCGCTCCATGGGCCCAGCGTGGGTCCTGGTCATTTTGGCTGCAGGGCACCTGGTAGATATCTATGGGAATTTCCCCTCTACTCTGTGGTCCCAACCTTTAGGGGCCAGCATGAAGCTGGGATGTGGGCACAACTTATGACCGTGACCTTGGAAAATGTTTGCAAAAGCTCACATCATTCCTAACACCTTCCTATGCCAGGAAATATAGTCAATAGGTCTGGGGTAATACTTCGTCCTGTGACCTGACACATGAAGGACACAGGGAGCTCCAAGTGTGATGGATGAGGAGGCTCTAGCAAGGTACCACCCCTCAAGGATGTTCCCACAAGGCCTCTTGTGAGTTTCCAGCATCTCCCTATGATGTTCCCTGCTGTGGGATGTTTACCATCACCTTCCCAAGACACTTAAAATCTTAGGTCAGTCACTCCCTGGCCCCTCACTGCAAAACCAGGTACAGAAACAAGAAGAAGCCAAGAGGGCAAGACATAGAAGATGCAAAATATCCCAGAGAAAAGAAATCAGAGTCCATAAAGAAAAATGTCACAAATCTTCCAGACTAGAGCCCAACCCTCCACAATCTCTGCCCAGAATCTATTGGGTTTTTTTAAATTTTATTGTTGTTATTATCATTATTATTTTATCTGAGTAAAAATCTACCAAGCAATTGATTTTCCATTCAACCATTCATACATACTTTATTTTTAGCATTAACTGTAATACCCACAATGCTATCCTGCTTTCTCCACTTCTCTGTAATTCTGGTCTCCATTAGTCCTTCTATTCTATCCCTTCCTGCCTTCACAGCTTTATCTTGGGCAAATGGTGCTCTTTGGATCTTGTGTGGTTGGTTAGCCTAAGGAGTGTGTGCTTCCTTGGTACTATTGTTTAGCTTGTAGGTCTGTCTGTTGTTTGGCTGAAAGTTGGGCCATGGGGATGAGTTCTGTTCCAGGTTCAAAGGCCATAATCTCAGGGAATCCACCAGTCACTCTTGGACCAGTAACCCTGGCCTTTTCCCCTGTTTTTGAATTTTGTTTCACTTTTGCCCCTACTCTATCCAGGACCTTCTGCTGTGATCCCTGTGACAGAGGTCAGCAGTGGGACCAGGCACCATCTAGTTCTTCTGATCTCAGAATCCTGAAAATGGAAGGGTTTGTGGTCCTTTAGTAATTTGGACTAATTATTTCACTACATCTTTGCTTTTCTTTGTTCAAAAGAGGGAAAGGCCAATAATCACACCTTAGATGGCTGCCCAGTGCTTATATTCTTCCACTAACCACTGCCTTCTTCACCTCCCCCTGCCTCTTGCTCCATTCTCTAGCACATATGTGTCCTGGGGACTAAAAGGAATGGTAAGTGCCCCTGGTCAGGGACTGGTATACTCAGGAAGGCAACAGGCAGGTGGACAGAACACTTCCCCAATTGTCCAGGGGCTGGGCACAAGGGTCTCCAGTAATGAATTATTCACCGGAGCTGTGCTAAGTGCAGAATTAATCCCTTTCCTTCCAGCTGGCGGCCTCACTAAATTATCCCTCCAAGTCATGCGGGAAAATGCTGCCGAATTCATTTAGCTGCTGAGTGTTTTGATCTGGGCCTTATGATTTTAGCGTCCCCATCCCCCAGCTCTCCTCCCCCTGGAGGCAGGTTAAAAAAAAAAAAAGAAAGAAAGAACCTTTTAGTAATGGATTTCTGAGAAGAAAGGAAAGGGGATCAAGATTGGGTGTGTATCAAGAAAATAGTACTAGCGGAAATTCAGAACCAGATTCATATTTGCTTCTGCAGCCAAGAGTTCACACAGATTCTACACATATGCATTTTCTTGCAATTATACCAGATAACTGTATAACCATATGCAAACATGCTTTTAGCCCCCCCCCAAGCATGCACACACATACACACAGAGACACACCCTTCTAACGGAGTATGCACTTAATGCATATGTGCGTGCTCACGAGCCAGCTGACAGGCAGGCATTTTCATATATGAGTTGGCACATACACAAGCTGTCTTATTACTTTCTTGGTGACACTACTTGGGAAATTGCCAATAACTGACTCACTTTGATTCTAGAGTCTTGAAGACCCATTTGGGGGCCTGGGTGTGAAGTGCTAATATTTGTGGACTTGGCAGAAGGTTCTTGCAGCTGCAGCTCAGGAAGCTCCACTCATTCATTCATTCCTTTATCTCACACCTTGCTGATGAGGAGCTACCATGTGCCAGACACCGTGCAAGACAAGAACGAGAAATGTGGGCTGCAATGAGGAGAGGCAGGGACTGGCAGCCATAGAGCCCAACCTGCCTCAAATTCACCATCACTGGATTTGAACACAGTGCTCTGCTGGTATCTGGGACTTCTTGGCTTCTTCCTAAAGGGGCACAAGAGAGTGTTAAGAATTGATTAACAGAGCAGATGATATTATAACTAAGCTTAAAGGGGTCTCTTTCTAGCCCCTTACCACCCCTCCATTATAATACTTTCATTGTCTTCAGCACTGCAAGAAAATTATTAAGCATCTGTCTTGTAGCATGCACTGTTCTGGGTTGTAAGGATACTACACTGAGCAAAATCAGAAAAGACTGTGTTTATGTGGAACATGCATTCTTACAGTTGTTGTAGTCACTGTTGTTGTTAGGTGCCATCGAGTCAAGTACGACTCACAGCGACCCTATGAGCAAAAGATCTGAACCTAGTCCTGTCCTGCGCCATCCTCACACTTTCTGACACACAGAGTCCATTGCAGCAGTTATCACATCAGTCCACCTGGTTAAGGGTCTTTCGCTACTTCGCTGATCCTCTACCCTTCCCAACTCCATGTCCCTCTCTAAGGAATAGCACCTCCTAGCAATATGTCGAAAATATGTGCGTGAAGCCTCATCATTCTTGCCTCCAAAGAGCACTCCAGCTGCACCGTCTCCAAGACATATCTATCCATTCTCTTGCCATCCATGGGATGTTCAATGCTCTGCTCCAACAACAAAGCTCAAAAGTGTCAGTTCTTTTCTGTCATCCTTACTCATTGTTCAGCTCTCAGATGCATAAAAATGGCCTAAATCAGACACACCCTCGTCCTCAAACTGACATTACTACTTCTCAATAATTTGGAAAGGTCCCTAACTACAGATTTTCCCATTGCAATGCATCTCCTTATTTCCTGACTACTCATTCCAAGGCTGTTAATTGTGGATCCAAGTAAGATGAAGCTGTTGACAGTTTTAATCTCCTCTCCATCCATCATAATGTAAGCAGATACCAGATAATTATAAGCACTGAGATAAAAACCAAACAGGGGTGTGTTAGAAAGTGCTTAGAAAGGGTTTTTGGAATGATATCTTCATAAAGGCGTAAACTGAGCTGCTGTAACAATGAGTCCAGGTTCTTCCCATTGTATAGCTGCTTGGAAAGAGTAGAAGAAGGAGAACTAGTGGTGCAGTGATGAAATACTCAGATGCCAGTTGAAAAGTTGGTGGTTTGGACCCACCAGTGGCTTTGTGGGAGAAGTTGTGGTAATTTGCTTCCACAAAGATGATGGCCTTGGGATTATCAGCCTGTGGGGCAGTTCCTCTGGGCCCCACAAAGCCGTTCTGAGTGAGAATTGACTTGATGGCAATGGGTCATGTACTTGAC